GTAGTCCAGAGAATTCTGCCTTTTTTGAAAATAAAAAGTACACAATAAAAACAAACTGTTCGATCTAAGTTTTAGAACTTTTCACGATGTATCTTTCGTTATATTCTGTTTTTTCTTAAAGAAAATAAATTGGGTGATAAAAAGATAGAATATGAAAAATAGAAGTCCTCATTCATGGTGAATTTTTGCAGCATCAAAAATTAATCGTCAGGATACAGCTTTTTTTAAAAACAAAAAGGTGCACATATAATATAAACTGTTCTTTGCTAATTGTAGAGTTTTTCGCGCTGCATCTTGTGATATATTTTGGTTTTTGTAATAAAACATACGTATCAGTTGATAAAAAAGAAAAAATGCATTCATCGCATACCAAAACAACACTTTTATCCAACGTCAAAATTTGATCCTTCAAAATTTCGTCAATTTTCAAATAAAAAAGCATAACTATGAAATAAGCTGTCCTATGTAAATTGTGGAGTTTTTCACCCTGCATCTTCGGGTATATTGTATTTTTTTAATAGAACATATTTAGGAATCAAAATATGAAATGCAAAGTTCTCCCATTTATTTTTGTTCATCAGTGAGCAACTTGTGTGCATCTAACGTGAAAGAAATGATAGACTACAGAAAAGTACAAAACTTAGGAGTGTGAAATTTTAGACATAATCTTATATGTTTCTAAGTATTATTATGAAATACTTGCACTTAAATCGGGGCTTTTAAAAGAATTAGGCGAAAAAACTTTTGTACTGCCCCATGTAATTGTGAATACAGATCTCTGATGAGTGTTTAATATTCCAATACATAACACGAAACGCGTCGGCGAATTATAATTCTGTATTTCTTTTAAATTATTTTATTTCAAAGCATATTTTCTTGTTCATTGATTTTCGACCTGATTGATTGCTGAAAAACAAGAGTTGGGATCAGCAGATTGATTTATATCATTTAGAAATGTAGGTTGGTCTGTTTTCGAATTGATTAGAAGAGGAATTAAGAAATAAGATTGACGAAGATGGAGAAGAGAAACTAAGACAGTAAAGAGAAACCCAATGCTAGTTGAGAAGGTTATCAATATATTTGAAGAGGAATTAAGAAATAAGACTACTGAAAGAAGAAATTTATGTAATCTTGAGATTTGAGTCAATATCAAAGTAAAGAAAATGTTTTGTAGTATAATTTTGAATGATTTCTTTAGTTATTTTTAATATATTTACGGAAATTTTCGATCTTAAGCGATAATTTTCAACCTTTAACCAGGACGAATAACAAATGTTATAAACAAAACGAAAATACGAAAAAACAATGAAAAATGTTTAAATAGTTTTAATATATATGTAAACATCATAATCTTAACACTATAAACTTTAACATCATAACCTATGTTGTCCATTGCAAATAATTTGTATATATCATAGATAATTGTAAAACATGATGGAATTATGTATGGAACGGATAAAATACCTCAAATAAAGTATAATACATCACTTATAATAGAATGCATTATATACAATATAATTTACCATATATTATAAATTATACACTATGAATAAGACTAAAATTTTACTACAAATATTAAAGTTTATAGTGTTAAGGTTATGATGTTTACATATATTTTAAAACTATTTAAACATTTTTCATTGTGTTTTTTCGTATTTTCGTTTTGTTTATAACATTTGTTATTCGTCCTGGTTAAAGGTTGAAAATGATCGCTTAAGATCAAAAATTTCCGTAAATATATTAAAAATAACTAAAGAAATCATTCAAAATGATACCACAAAAGATTACTGAAGAAGTAGACCAACACCCCATAGATGAGAAGATCTTAGAACGTTTTCAAAAAGAGCAAAAACAAAGAAAAAGGTTATTTTCAGACAAGCAGATAAATCAAAAGTATTCCACGTAGCTACACTGAAAATAAAAAAGGCACCATACGAGACTTTAAAAGGGTTTCGAGATTTGGAACGAATTCTAAGTCCGTTTTTAATTTCGTACGAAGTTCCATATGATACCACCCAATGCTAAAAATACTATCAATTCCTTTTTCAATCGAGCTGTGTCTACTTATATCTACATCTGAGACGTCTGTTTAATCTCTTAAATGCATATCTAACTCGTAATTCCTATTCTTAAACCCTTATACCCATCCTTAACTCCTTTTCCCTATCCTTGGAACTTTTTATACCTTTAACCATCTAATTTTATGTCTAATCTCTTATTGGGGTCTTGTACGCGTTGTTTTTACCGTTGTCCCACTAATTCTATGCATAACCTGTTATTGCTGTTCCTAAGGCCTTATTTTTCTATCTTACCCATTTCATTTATGCTCAATGATTTATAACTCTGTCTAGGCCCTTATTTTTCTATCCCACCACTAGTTAAAACTTTGATCAACTCGTATATCTCAATCGAATATATAATAAGTGTTAAAATGCTGAGTTTTGTTGGCATTGGTAACATGAATTGAGAGTAAATATGAAAATTTATTAACACCTTTTGGTTTGACTATGAAGAAATAATTAAACTCTCTTGTAGTAATGTTGAACAAGTAACTGAATATTTCAGCATTCGTATTAGGCTAGCATTAGCATAATGAAACTACTTTATGTTGTAAACGTAAGCTACTGGTAGATATATGTACTTCGTTGAAATCTGACAGAAAAGATTGTTTTGTTAACCGGAATCATTACTATTTGTCTTATGCCAATTCTCGCATAATACAAATGTCGAAGCATTAAATTATTTGATGAATACTAATAGAAAAGTGTGCAATAAATCTTTCAGTTGCAATCAAAGTGTTGGTAACAGCATTAGTTAATACGATAGTAATATTAAGGCGGCATCGATAGTCTAACATTTTATATGTACTATCTGACTATCTTATACCTATTTAAGTCTTATATCTTATACTTAATTTACAACATGTGTATACATGTATAATTACCTCTATCTATTGTTACCTTCATACATATTCCTAAGATCTCAGTACTTATTTATATCCTCTTAAGTTCATGTGCATCTCTTGTATCTATATTTATAGTCCGATACTCATGCGTGTTTCTATATGTCTTACCGTTCTGTAAGTTGAATCCAATATGAGGTATGCCGTTTTATTCTAAAGTAACATGATCGCCAGATAGGTAATATGACACGAAATTTGTTGTATTAAAAGCAGAGACTTTTTATCAAATAATCGTTTTATTATATGACACAAAGTCTGTGGTTTGGGTCATTAACGGTTAAGACTGGTCAATATGCAAAAAAACTAAAATAAAACTGAGAAGGACAGTAATTCATGAACATGGTGCGTAAAAGATGTTGAAAGAAAAGACAGCATTTTTCGTCAAGGAAAATGCTGAAGATTATCATCTTATTACTGAAGCTCTTTTGTATTGTTCCTGGAAAAGGTCGGCATGAAAACGAGTGAGTTAAAAACATGGCAATACAATATCAAAACTGAATTGCAAAGAGAATGATAAATAAGTAAACAGATGCAACAATTGAGACCTGATGCTTGGTCATAAGTCAACATCTATGGGTAGCACAGATGTACAGGAAAAAGAAACAGTAAAGTACCAAACATTTTGACAATGATATCTCTAAGAGGCTTTTTACGAAACACTTTGAGCTACGAACACTCGAAAGAGTTGCATACGGAACCTCTTTAGTTACTAAACCTTAAAATGGTTTCCTTGACTGGTCCGATATCTGAAAGTATACAATAAAGTTCCATGAAACTTTAAAGGATTCGTTTGACACTATTATTGTTTTCAGTGCAGTGAGTTAAGTTCCTCTGTGGCACCCACGCCATTGCGATTGCCCTTTGAGCTAGAAGATAGACAGACAGATAGAGAGATAGAGAGATGGATAGAGAGACGGAAGGATGAGATGGTAGGAGAACGACATCTTAAGTAAAAGCCCCTATAAAGATAGAATTTTCCCATTGAACGAGTGTAGAAGATGATCAGCGAGAGCAAGAAAGCAAATGGTACAAAAAGGAAATGGTATGCTGTCAGACTCAGATGACTCACTCCTTTATTAGCAGATTCAAACGTCACTTATGCACTTCCTTTATAGTATATTCCCTACAAATTCCATTTTATCATTCAGATACAAAAAAAATCGAAATTTAATTTGAAATCGAATGAAATAGTTCTTATTATCCGGAGATGTCTATAAACTTGACTTTTAGATCGAGAACAAGAGTGTGGGTGTGGATGTCGGTATTCATCTTCGATTAAACTACAACCACACCCACACCCGCTCTATAATTTACATAAGATCCCTTATTTTACAGATGTACTTTTTGTTTTTGAAATGGTCAAAATTTTGACGATCCAATTTTGACCGTGCGAAAATAATAGTTTTTTTGGTACAAGATGAATTTGTTTTTTCTTATTTCCTCTTTTTATAATTTTTTCTTTGCAAATTGTAGAGCTTTTATGCTGTATCTTGTGGTGTATATTGTTTTGCTTGTTAATAAAATATATCAGGCAATAAGAAGATGAAATAAGAAAAAATGAATTCATATTATATCAAAAAAATATTATTTTCGCACGGTCGAAATTTGCTCGCTCTAAATTTTGGCCATTTCGAAAACAAAAAGTGCAATTATAAAATAAGCGATCTTATGTAAATTGTAGAGCTTTTCGCACTGCATGTTTTGGTATATTTTGTGTTTTTTAACATGGCGAAGTGATGAAAACATTGAATACAAAGTGCAGTCATTCATTATGTACAATTCGTTATTTTTTACAGCTTTTTGTATGTCTTTATTTTTCATCTTTTTTCAAATATGTCTAAAATATCTTCAGCGTCTAGTCATATATGTTTTTGTAGAAAATTTCTAGTGCTATCTTTTGATAAAAACAATGTTTTAATCAAAGGAATAATAGAGGAGAAATCTTAAAAATACTAAGAGGGCAATTATTTACCACCTGCTACTACAATAATTACACATGCATAAGTCTTCTAAGAAAGCAAAACACTGAAATAACAATTTATTGTTTTTTAACTTCAAGGTCATTTCGTCTTGTTGAACCACCAAATCGAAAACCCCACAACAATAGGATTAAAGCCATAATCATTGAGCCTGAAACAACTCCAACTAATATAAAATTAAAAATAAATTCATCCAAACTCGATGGTAGTGTTTTTGCATCTATTGTTGCTTGTCGTAATAAATTATAATGATGACCAGTGTATGCAACCCAATAATATGTCAGTGGATGCAACCAACCAGTTATTTGTAAACATATATGTGTTATTAATTTACACTTTTCATTTAAATATAAATGA